CGAATTTGGCGACGATCGTCGTTTCACGACGTCGAACGTAACCGTCGAACGTGACGTTTACCTATTCTCGCTTCTTCCACCCAGTTTCCTGATGACGTATGCATGAAATTGCAGGCTAGTTTATCGGCCGCCCCGCGCAGTCGATGCAAATTGTGACAGGGGGAGGCGACCGTGTGCGTTCACGCCTCGCCCTCTCCTCCTCATTCGTCGTGACTCGGCCACGATTTTCGTTCGAGACTAAATTTATCGAATCGACATCGACATCGAGGAATGGGCCGGAAGAGTTTATTTAGGTATAATCTGAAATTTCATTAGTTAAATGGACTGTTAACTCGGTCCGAGAAAGCTTCGAATGTTGAGTACGTAAATTTGTGGCTAATAGGAGGATCGGTTGATTTATCGAGGGCTGAAATAAGAAATAGTGCATTTCTCTTCTTTCTTTCTTTTGTGTTAAGGAGGATAAATTTTTTAAAAGGAGGAAATGATACGTGGAAGTGTTTCGAGGGATCGAAAATTGAAATTGTATTACGTGTGAAAGTTGTGCGCGTGTCAATTATCGTCTCGAGAATTGTCGTTTCTCGACGCCTACCTCACCGGTTTTCCCGGTGCCGGATCAGGATTGTGTCACCGCGGGTGATCACGTAACGCCGCAGGTGTGCCAAACATTTTTCAGGAAACGTGAGCCAAAATTATACGAAATCTCCAGCGGTGAAACGTCCCTTCTGTAAATTTCCTCCTCCTCCTCCTTCTCTCTCTTTCTCTCTCTCGCTCCACCATCTTAAACTCTCGTGGAAGTCCTGCGGACACGTCGTTGTTACGCGACTACCGAAACTTACGTCTTTATGCCCGAGGACAAACCTCGAATACGTTACGCGAGATACATTTCTAATTAAGGGAAATAGGTTGTGCAGAAACTTTATGCTCGGTATACGTATATTAATCATGATAATATGAATTTCTTCGTCATCGTTATATATTCATTTTATAGATAACAGAAATTGATACGTTTTATCGTCACGATAATGATTGTCGTAATAATTATAGCTGTAGCCAGTATAAAAATTAATGGATAAAGTAAAAAGTATTTTTTTTTATCGATAAAAATAAATTTATGAAACCATAATTATTCTTTCGTCCTATCGTTTCACACGAATTAATTTTCACTACGGTTGTTGTAATGATTATAATACGATGAATGATAAATAATAAATAAATGTAAAAGTTAATAACCCTGGTGAAAGTAAAAAAAAAAGATCGAATCATCGTTCGTTATCATATGGGAAAAATGATTTATACACAGAACTGTGTGAATAATTATGATCTCGAGATTGATGAATAATTAATGAAAGGAAAAAAAAAAAGAATTTTTTTTTTTTTTTCATGCTTACACTTGAACAAATCCGTGTACGGAATGAAATTTCACGCAATGTCGCGCCTCGAACGAAACCAATGAAACGTTCGACGTGATCCCGCAACTGCATTAACGCGGCTCCCGATTTATTTATTTACAAAAACGTGATTCGAACGAGGAAAAAAAAGTCCGGCGCGGCGGAAATGTTTTCGATAACCGGGCGAACGAAATAAAAAAAAAAAAAAAAAAAAAAAAAAAAAAAAAAAAAAAAAAAAAAGGGAAAAAAAAAGCGGGGCGGCGGGAAAAGGTTTCAAAAACCGGGGAAAAAAAAAAAAAAAAAAAAAAAAAAAAAAAGGAAAAAAAATAAAAGGGAAATTCGATGGAGGGAAACGGGTTGGGCGATTACGATTCGTAATTTCGATTCAATTTCCATAAATTCTAGTTAAAGTTTTATTTTTAATCCTCTCATTTGCAATCAATCGTAAATACAATTACCGTCACCGATGGAACAAACGAACAGTCCCGTCCAACAATTATTGACTGGTGGTTATCGATACTGGCCGGAATGAAATTTTTGAAGGCAGTCTGCCGATAAATTCAGATTAATCGATGTAGTACATATGGATATATATATATCGTATTCAGAGAAAAAATGATGGAGCGGGTTCCACGATTCTATCACAGCCAGTCAAGAATTTTTAAGAATTCAAAAATTAAAAATCATCGGAAATGATGAATTAAACTCCCCCTTAATTTCACCGATGAAATCACCGGTGGAAAATAAATTTTAGGTATACAGGTATTATATTTCTTGTAACACGTTTTCACGGCATCAAAGAATAGGGCACATTATTTACGATAATAAAAACAAGATCCAATCTTATGAAAAATAATAGCGGAACTGGCGCGCATCAATACGCTCATCTCGAATCGATCCATCGACGACGATTCGTGCAGGTGTTCCAAATAATTCTCTGCCACGGGATACCCGAACGCCGCGTGAGTCGAAATTACACGAAATCTCCAACAGAGAGAGAGAGAGAGACAGAGAGAGAGAGAGATCGTCGATTCCTCGATCTCGTTTCCCTTTCCATTCCTTCTCCACCTCTCATCGATTCTCAGTTGGCAAACGTTGTTTGGTTTCGCGATTCGGGACACAATACGGGATATATCTTTCACAGGTAAGCGGAGGAGTAGTTTCAAATATTTTCGTAATAATGTTGGGCCAAGGGGGTGGGTCGACGGTGACAGAGGCAACAACGGGATATGTCTCAATGTTTTGGTCCTTTCGTTCAGCTGTCCCCATTGTGGATAGGGAAATTAACAATGGGGCACGGCTCGAATGACGTTTTTCTCCAAGTGTATACCTGCAAACGAGAGGAGGTCCCCCACACCGGCACGGAGGTCCCATTCTCGAAACGATCTCGACCGCTTTTAGTGACACTTAAGTGATCGTCCGTGGCATCAGTTTGCTCTTTTGTGGCCTCCACGTTTTCGGATATACGCGCCACCACGCTTCTGCCGCGCCGAGGGATATGCTGGAAGATGGATACCTTCCTGGTGGCGCGAACAATGGCGGCAGAGTCGTTCTGCTCGACGAACTTTTAATAGATTTGTTGTTGCTCGCTAGCGAAGCGACCGGAAGGGCTCGACCAAGGGAAACCGAGGCTTCTCTCTTCTTCTTATTCTTACCTCGAATCGATGTAGCACTTGTAAATGGCTGTTCGACAGCGCAAGATCCTTGTTTTTTCGCTCGGAATGAACCGCAACAAAGAAGCGTTTATTCTGCGTTGGCAACCCTCTGCTTAATTCCATTATTCGTTGACAAGTTTGGACATTCTTTAAATCGAAGAGTTAATAAAAAAGGAACGATCCTCCTCGGTTCTTCTATCCTTTCTCCACTCTTCTCTATCCTTCTCGTTATACCAACATAAACTATTATGGTATCCCGACCAGTATTCTCTTGGAATTCCGTTAAAAATAATAATTTGTTCGCTCTTCGAAAAATCTTAGAGTCCAGAGTTCAGTTCTCAGAGTATAATAATAATAACCGCGAGAGCAAGGTTCGTTTAATTTTCTAATATTCGAATCGCGTGTAGCATTAAAAATATTGGCGAAAAAAAAAAAAAAAA